ATTAGTGCTTTCCTCCAGAAGCCAATCTGAGCCACAATCCAGACAAGGCTTGTTAATGGCCACTTAAATACATCTCTGCAGCCTAACCAGCAGACCCTCCACCATGACAAGACTGATTGTCTTAAAGGCACAGATCTGACCCTTAGCAGTTGGGGGAACCATGCACCTGGTTTGCCTAGGGCAGTTCCGGTTTGCTCCTATTACCCCATAATAATTATCAATATTCCTCCTTTCATTTTCAAAAGGAGTTCCAGTTTGGATAACAAACTAAGAGATCTATAGCAACTAGAAATAGCAGTTTAGATAGCAATGGTTATCCTTTATTGAGCCCTTGCTATGTGTCTGGCATCATCATGCACCTTGCATCTTATTTAAACTTCATTATAACACTGAAGGGAGGTGTTATTAATGTTCCCATTTTATAGACCAGGACACTATAGTTTGGAGGAGCAACATGGCCAAGGTCAACCACTGTAGAGGGCCTTCTATGGGCAGTGCATCATCCCCCAACTGCTGGGAGTACTGGCAGCTCATGGCTCAGAGCTGTCCCCTTCCCTAGAGAACTGTGTTCATCAAATGGAAGCCACCTCTGCTTGAGAGGTTCCACTCGTGCACTTAGGAAGCAACCAACAGCCAGTGACACAGAAGACTTCCCTGCTCCTGACCACATCTTTGCTTAGCTCCTCCTTGGCCACACCCTACTGCCCTGGCTCCCATTGTCCTCAAAAGACCCCCTCGATTAACCACCTGAAGAAGGATTCTTGTATCACGTTGTGCCTCCACAGAGCCAGACCTGAAACATCCACTTAGCAAGTAGGAAGCTGCAACTCATGTCCCAGAAAGTCAGACTTTTAACCACTAAGCAGATATGACGTGGTATGGCCTCTATTATAAACATGATTAAAATGGCCTCCAAGGAATCAGATCACCACAACATGTATGTCATATAGCTCCAGTTAATGGCCACAGTTACAATAGAAGCTACTCTTCATGAAGCTGACAAGAAGCCAATCTTTTTATTATACCTGATCCTTTCAACAACACCATGAGTTTCATCTTATCCCCATCTTGCAAATGAAACATGGGGATTTTTTGAGAACTTGAGAGATAGATCTACTGGGGTCAGACAAATAAGAAGAGGTATAAGGTTTTAGCTTTATTTCTAAGTCTGTTTTTCCTTAAAAGCCATACATTCTTTTTTCTACTTGGCCACTTAAATCTGCTATTGCATAAACTGTTCAAGGAATAATTGGTGAAACGAGTTCCCCATCAAAGCAGAGGTTCGTATGTATGTATGTATGTATGTATGTATGTGTACCCACTGCCTTCTTCCAAGAAAGAAAGAAATAGAACTCTCGGCAGGGCCTTTGTGCCACAATTTACTCCCAGTCTCAGCTAGCCTGGATCACAAGCACATGTGCACAGGCTCGGTGAGCTCAGGGAGGTCTCAGGATGCAAACCCAGGACCTTTCCCAGTGGTTCGGTTGCATTATCACTGCACCACCACTGGCCCCTTCTTACAGCAAGTTAGAAACAAGACAAGCTATCTTTCCAATTCCTCACCTTCAGTAGTGATTCTTTCTGAGTTGCATTTGACCAACATGTCTCTGGGAAAAGTCTTATTACTCTTAAGCTAGAGAATTTTCCCTTCAACAAGACATAAATGAACAAAGAAAACTTATTCATTGAAGAAAGGAAGGAAAGCAAGTGGACAGGATAACCAACTTGAACCCTCATTCCAAGTCCGAACAATATAAGTTCAGATGGACTATGTTCTCTTTCTCAGCAAAAAGCATATCCTGTTTAATAATAAAATATTTCCATTAAAAATTGAGAACAGATAAAAGAGGGACCTTCATTCAGGAGGCTATCAGCTGATTCATAAAAATATATAATGAGTCATCCTGGATCCCAAGGCTAAAACTTACAATCAATGGGCATTGCTGGCCAGCCAATCCTAGCCCAGGGGAGGAGAAAGAACCAGCAGGCAATCTTCACATGCCCATTCCAATCCTCCCTTGCAAAACCGATTAACTCTGCCTCCAGCTTCGGGAAAGAAAAATCAATCTGGGCCCTTTGCCGTACTGTATTCCAAATGCACCCCAGTGCATAGTTGGCTTTCTGAACAATTGAGGTGGGGGATCTGGCATTATTCCATAGTGTGTTTGTGCATGTGCATGCCTGCGTGCATGTGTGCGGGCAAGCATGTGTTTGTGTATAGCACCGTTCAAGAACAGGCTTGTGTGTCTGACTTTGAAAATCAATCTCTTGGCCTTCATCTTGACATTTATTATTTCAAAATGCTTCAGTTCCTATCAGCATTTAGGCAGTTAGCATAAGGTTAGAGAACACAGACCTATTTGCACTGCAGAGGATGTGCTTTTCTTTAAAAAGTAGCTTCAACATTTTCACTCTCTGAATATATTCTCTGCATCGGGTCCAATCCTTGATTGGGAGAGAAGGTTATATGTGTGTGTGCAAATAGATATTTTTTAAGGATGAAGAGTTACCAGTACATGATTTTAATTGTACTAAGCAGAAGCTCTCCCAGCAGCAAGTGAAGAAGACTCAACTATTGGGAACCAGCAGTTAGTGTAATGGCTATGTCGCTGGATTCCCACGTAGTCGACCGTGGTTCGTGTCCCGGACCCGGTGGCTTAAA